GTATAATAGCAGTGTCTTCAAAGTATAGCAGTAAGGAAAACCTGAAAGGGAAGAGTAAAGAGAGAAAACTCGAGAGAATTCATCCGTAACTTGAACTTATTTTGCTTCCATTGGAAAAGAAATAAATAATTAAAGAGTAACTGTATTATATATATAATACTCTTTTCACACTCACACACATATAATGTGGAAGAAGTTTCATCAGATTTGGATTCCTTTAGCATCTTACGTATACAACTTAATCAGTGTCCCACTTATAGCTATTGAATTTCATCGATACTTGAAAGTTATCAAGATATATTTTCTTTAAAAAATTCAAAACAATCAATATGATCAGAATCAATGGCAGAGCCACATTGTAGTGAGTGCAGGCAAATGCAGCCCTTCATTTTGGAAAAAATTACAAGTAGGGCATGTAATTTTACAACTTTACATTCCTTATTTTGATATTTTGCATTCTTTAGACTAAATAAAAATATTTGAGCTAAAAAATTTATTAGATATATAATATTTTAATGATCAAGATAAATATGAAGAGCATATTTACATAAATATTATTAACATGATTAATATAATTTTGTAAAAAAATAATGATCGATCTATTTATATATGTTATTACAATTTTAGTTCTAGTATGATTATTATTTTTAATTATTTAATTCTTTTAAAATTATAATTTTAAAATTAAAATATTTTGCATCCTCTTATTCCAAGTCCTAGCTTCGCCACCGATAAGAATGTTCCTTACTTGTGATGATCCCTCCAAAAATTTAATACTGATGATATTATATTATATGAGATATTCATTGAGCGAATATATTTAAATCACTTATCAAATTCAAATCCACTGTCATCTTACTTACAAGTCATAAAATATATTGCGCTTTCATCTTAAACCGCATGCTATGCGAAGAAGCATGAGCCAATAATCTTGTCCTATTAATAAATCAATATAACACAATATAAAAATTTATAATAAACCGCATTTATTGCTAATGTCATAAGAATGTATGTTTGGTGTATGTTGGGCATTATACATAAAATATGAATAAAACTTATTTTGCATATCCTATTGATCTTGAAGAACGTGAAATACCGTTTTTTGAGTATTACTTCCCCGCATTTTGCCGGGTGTAAAATTTAGGTATGTTATAAAACAAACAGTTTAGTTTTTTATTCCACAAATAATTCATATCTTTCTAAAATTTGAACCACTTTTTTTTTAAAAAAAAAAACGTAAATCTAAATGCCGTGTTAGTACAGGCTACTGCTTCTGAGTGGTTAGGGCAAAGATATATATATATATATATATATATAAATGTGCGTGAGAAAAGGATAATGATGAAAGCTGGTGGAGTCCCCACCCTACGAAGTAGAGGTTAGGGCTAATTAAGCGGTGATAGGGACGGAGTCTGAATGAATACAATATCATCCATTTTTTGAATTTAATTCATAATAATAACAAAACCAATAACACACACTTGGTCGTGAAAGTGTGAACACAATGTATGGGTTCAACTTTTTTGCTTCCTATTTACTGTTCAACTTTGGACGCAACGCATGCCTATGGCGCATCAGTGACCCATCCATATCATTCTCATTTTTTTCTATTTATATCTATTTCCATGGACCACTCAATTTCACCTCATCTCTTTTAATTTTACCACCTTCTTCATTTCATAACTTGCAATCATGATTATGGATATATTAATTGGTCCCCCACCTCCTATCTCTAATCATGTAATTCTGCCCCTTCACTTTCCACTTCTGCTGACAATCCATGCCCCTCAACTTCTAACTCTTTCATTTTCTTCACACAGAACATTATCTTTACCATTAATCTTGTCTCTGTACTTGAGGATTTGGATCAAAGTTTTATTACGCATGCAGACACATCCAGACACACAGGCTATACCTTATCTCATATCAGTGTATAGGGTTACACACACAGAGATATAATATATATTGCAGGACCAGAGAGAGAGGTGGGGGTGCCCTAGAGAAGGGAAGCCATCCCAAAAGTGACTGGAACTCTGTGAAGTATGGTTAAGGGATCATCTCTGAGATCCATTCACGCACAGAGAGGCTCATTTATTGTCCCTTCTCCAGGACCATCACTGCATGCATGCAGCCAAAGAAGGACCATCCCTACAGAAAGAGAAATACAGAGCTCACGTCTCCTTCGTCTCCAACAAAATCTTAACCTAACTCGCATGATTACTTCCAACTCTTCTCACATGTGCTTTTTCCAGAGACGTATTCTTCTTGTAATGGTCCACTCTGAAACGGATCGTTGTACTCTTTACATTTCGTTAAGTGAATGAAACACATACATTGTTATATCTGCTTTAGTCAACAAATCCATCTGTACCTAGGGTTCTACACACACACACCCCCCCCCTTCGCCTGGTTAAGTTTAAAAAAAAAAAAAAGGAATTCTAACATCTAAAGTATATACAAAGGTCGGTAGGTAGGTGGCTAGGTATCTCGCATGTCTGAATATATTTACTAGTGTTTAATGATCCTTGTTGTCCGTTTTTCTGTCCTGTTACTTCGGCAGTACTAAATACGAAAGGAACTAGAGAATGTTGTAGCTTCTCTGTACGAAGCTTCTCTTAGCAGCCTCATCTCAAAATTTTATATTTAAGCATTAATTCTAACCACATATATAAAAACTTGACTAATTTATGTGAACTTTGCGAGCTGAAATTTTTGGGTATTTACCGTTTATCGAGGTTCTTCATTATAGAGTCCACATCTCTTCTCCCCCACCCTGCTTCTCTATATATTAATATTTTCACACACAAACACAAAGTAACTAGCTAGAATCGTGAAATATATTTTAAACATATAGAGGACCATATCTATATATTGCATATACTTTCTCCTATGCCCCTTATAGAGTATCTTTATTTGATTTTTAATTTAAGATATATGAAGGGTCATCTATTATTATTTTTCAATTTTACTCCTATTATAAATTAATTTTATGGGTCATTATATATTGTCCATTTCTCTCTTCCTATTTTTAATAATACAGGTATCATTCTAAACACATTTAATGAATTAACTATCATTTCTTAATTTTGGTAAAGTAATTAAAAACTGATTACGGGGTATATGGAAAATGAAACAAAAGTAGGCACGGAGGACCACAGAGAGAGAGAGAGAGAGAGAGAGAGTGTGTGTGTGTGTGTGTGTGTGTGTGTGTGTGACCTAGAGAAGGGAAGCGATCCCCAAAAGTGACTGAAACTCTGTGAAGTTCGGCTAAGGGGATGGCCAGATCTAACCACAAATATTTATAAATTGAATTCATCGCAACACCCTCATTTATCATCCCTCCTCCAGGGACCAATACTCACAGCATGCAGCCAAACAAGGACCATATATATTATCCCCTACATACAAGTACAACACCACTCTTTCATACAGAAAAACAAACCCCATGTCTCTCTCCTTCGTCCCCAAGAAAACCCTAACCTAACTCGCACGTGCTTATGAACCAGAGAACTAAACCTCTCGTACTGGTCCACCAAGGCTCACATATACAGACACACGCATATATACTCGAATGTATATTTCGTTTCAGTGAAGAAATTTGACGCAGCTTAGCTTGGGCCTCCCTCTGGAACTAGGTTTGCATATATTCCTTGGCATGTGGGAGGCCAAAACCTAGTTAGGGAACTCTGAATTCTAACATGAAGCAGGCATCTAAAGTACTCTATATATATAGCTATATAGCTAGGGATCTATGCAGGAACTAGGTAGGGATCTAGGTGTCTGGGTCGCATGCCTTGATATTTAATATATTAATCGATGACCTTGTTTTGTAACTGCATCATCACTAAATACGAAAGGAACTAGAGAATGTTGTAGTCTCCACGAAGCTTCTTTTTTAGCAGAACCAGAAGCCCTCTATTAATGGCTCCTTTGACATTATTTCGCTGCCTTGTTCCAAGTCGGGTCTCGATTCTGGTGTGTTTCAGTTATTATTATTATTATATATAGGGCTCACAAATTACAAATATATTCTTATTATTAGCCGTGCTAACCGCTAATGATTCTCCTATATATATACTAGTCAGTAGAGAACAACAAAAGCAGATTACATGTACGTATATGTACAGGGAAAATATTTTATTTTATTTTTTCTTTCTTTTAATGCCGGCCAGGAGTAGAATCTAACTGTTTCTTAATTTAAAAGGAAAAAGAAAATTATTCCTAGTGGAGGAGAAGAATCAAATTCTAGAGCCACCCAAAATGAAGAAATTCGAGGGCGCATTCTTTTCCTGGTTCCATTATTTTTCTGTAATCATGGAGGCATAAGATTAGAAGAATGGCCCGAGAAAGAATCCTGCTCGTTTGTATTGTAATTCAAGTGTTGGTATGTTATTTGTTAGCAAAAAAGGGAGGGAAAAAAAAGTAGTATGTTATTTAAAATATCAAAATTATAATATCTATAAAAATATTAAGAGATCGACATCATTAATAAATAAGGATGTGTGTTTGTGTATGAGGTACACTTTATTTTTCATCAAATATGATATTCTTATCAACATAGCATGTTTGTCCTAAAATAAATTGTTTAAATATTAAATATTCGTGGACGTTCAACAGCGAGGCGGTGGCGCAGTGGGCTAGCTCGTAGTCTCGTAGCTTCGTTGAGTAATCCTGAGGTCGAGAGCTCGAGCCTCTCTCACCCCAAATATTGATTTTTTATCTTTTTGTGAAAAAGAATAATAAAACGCAGAGAGGTCGCGAAGCGTGGCACGCTTGCAGTATTGAGAGAACTCACTGTCACTGATAAATGACGTGCTAGGCCATGCCTGTTAAGCCCAACTCCACCAAGCAAAGCAAGGACCAAGGGGAAGGAACTTCTTATACACTAGTCAACAGCCAGGGTTATGCTCACTTCCAATTGCACCAATTTTACGATTTATTCTACCAGATTATATATATATATATATATATATGGCCTAACGTTTCTTCCAGATTAAAGATAACTAGAAGGAAACTTTAGAATTTCACCTTTAGGCACATAATTGAGCTGAGCAATTGCAGTAAGTTCAAAGGAAGTAGGCAGGAACTAATTCCAGCTTGTGAATACATTTTGTATTACAAATAAAAATACCTATACACAGTTCTTCCATGGCCTGAAAAAGTTGGCATGAACCAAGACAAAATTGGCTATATATATATCTTCTGCACAAAGCTGACTCCAAACAAATATGCATGCAGGGCAGCATAGAGAGCGTCTTCTTACAGGCTATACATCTGTTTCCATTCATACAAACATGTTTTCTTGAACGATCTGTGGCGCAGACAAGAAGCTAGGTTCAGTTTTGCAACCTGGAACAGTGCATTCTTGCCGGTGAAAAATCAACTGTAAGACAGGCGTGATCAGAAAGAGAGTAGTCATCAGGCCACAACCCTTTCTCCACTTCATGGGGAAACAGAACAGCTTTCTTCACCTTGAAGCCCATGGCTTTGTCGTCAGATTCTGTGTTTCCATCCTCCAGACACCCATTACTATGACTTTCCAACATGTTATCTGACCATGTAGAATTCCAAATCTTCTGCTGCAATGTCAATTAAATCCCATGTTGATGTTATTTTAGAACAAATAAAGCAAGTGGGTTTGCAAAATTGAGCAGGATCTGTATATATTGCCATATTGGGATACTAATATTTACTTCGATCAGCACGCTTGCAAAATCACAGATTTTGACCAGACGAATTTCAATATTATGAAGACAAGATGTAATCCAGAAAATAAGATTCAGTATACCTTGAATTTTTCAAAGTCAAGGACACCTCTTCCATCAATGTCTGCTTCAGCCCATAGATCCTTTAACTCTTGGAAGCATAATCCATGAGGCACACCAATTAACTTCACCTGCAATCATACATTTGACAGTATGAGTCTATCTCATTGGAAAATTACATGTTCTTTCTTTAAAAAAACATATATATATTGGCCTGAACAAAATTATATGCTCAGTTATCAAAAGATAACAACATACCTGACGAAGAGCATCAGAGAAACTACAGAATGTGACAAAATCATTACAGTTGTCACCTTTCAAAAAGGCAAATGCATCATCTTCTGACAATGAAGCTTTTCTTAATTGGCACTAAAATCCAAAAGAAGAAAAAAAACCAAGTATTAGATGAAAAGTTGATATGGTAGCAAATATCCATATTATCATAACAATGATAAAAGAAGAGGAATATCAACTCTCTCGTTTAATGCTTCAGCTATCCGTAGGGTTCTAAGCCAGAAAGCAGATTCTACTAAACTTCCTCTAACAAACATAATAAGAAGCTTATTTAACACTTGTTACATGTTCTTCCTAGATAGCTTCAGTTGAATATCTAGTCTTCAAGTTAAACAAGTTAATTGGATATTAAAATACAAATAAAAGATATAATAATGGTCTGTAATCACCTTTATTATACTAAATAGAGCTTCAGCCCAACTTGTCTTCAAGGGTTTTCGTGCTTTGTTAGGATTGCAAAGCCAAATGAAGTCAACACCACATATATTTCCCCTATGATTCCTGTGGCTAACCCACTGCAGAGATCAACGGGGAAAAAAAGGATCTGTTAATGTTATGCATTCTATGCTGGAAAGCAGATTATTGAAACAGTAATTGCAAGTTATCAACCTTGTGGGCATCTGCATCACTGTCAGTATATTGATGAGCAATATCATATGAAGATATAAATCCTTGTGACCTAAGGAACTTGTACACATGCCCCCGCTTGCTTCCGTTCCAGTCACTACAAATATAGACAATGAAGATTGGAAGTTCAATTCAATACTAAATGTAGGGGATTCATCTTGCAACATAAAAGGAAATATGGATATCAAATCATTAACTCACCCGCAGAGTATAATAGGCATGGGTTCAAGCTTGTTTTCTTTCTGATACAATTCAACATTTTGCAATATTTGGTAAACCTAATAATAAACAAAAAGTGAGGTTTGGGAATTAATGCAAGGAAGCTGTGAAGCCAATTCATGAAGAAAATAAGTTTATGGCATTGCAGAGCAATTTCATACCTGATGCAATCTCACTACAGACAGACTTGAATCATGAGGAAACAACAAATGTGTATTGACAATCAGAAACTCTTGGTGAAAACATCCCTTCTGACTCTGTGAAGAGGGGACAACTGACTCAACATGTATTAACTGAGCAACACGGTCACCAAAATCGTTGAAAAGCAGCTCTCGATAGTTCACAACTCTAAGATAGTCCTTGCGTATAGCAGTCAGAAGACCTGATACACAGAAATATGAATTTTGAGTTTGAAGCATTAGAACAACAAATTCACTTGGAAAAGATTTTATCTCAGATTATGAAAAAAATCTCCAACTGCCAGCCACAAACAGTTTAAAGATAGCCCTCCATGAACAAAACCTACTATTTTGCAGTCTGGACAACTTATCATTATTGTAAAGAACTAAAGATCACAAGAATTCTTTGGAACAATAATGAGGTTTTGTAAAGTTTAAAAGAAACAATTAGGCTAAATAGATATTTGAGCATGCAACAATATTCCACACCAACAAGTGGAGGAAGGAAGAAAAAATCGTTGGCATTAAGCAAAATGAATTAACCAGAAATTTACCAGATCATAATAAGCGGGCAGCCTAGAATACTCAACATATAACTCAGATGATTGCTTAAGCAGTAGACCGCCCAGCTTTGAGTTTACAATGGTCAACAACTAACCAGAAATTAACGTAAGAAAGATCATTCATGAGTCTGATCAAACTGAATTAGAACTCGCACCAGATGCTCCATAAATCCAATGCTTGTGAATTCACATTTGAGAGAGAGAAATTTCACTCACCATCGCCACGATTGTTGGTCCGAGCAAGCTTCAAGAGAAGATACCCTGCATTCCCAAGTCTCTCCTCATACATCTGAACAAGCTCTTCATTTCCAACCCAAAATTCCTATCCACCAAACATAAAATCAGTGCCAAAGAATAGATCATTTCCTAATACCAAAGAAAAAAGAAGAGAAATTTCTACCTGGAGGCACATAATCGATGATGATTCAAAAAGCAACCAATCCAGAATCCTTTGGTTCCTGGTCAACCATAATGATCTGGAGGCACTTTCTCTGAGGCACTGATTCTGTTTAAGACCACGAGAAGCAGACATAGTAGAATCAGTCAACTCCTCCAGGACAATTAATCCAAAACATATCACCGTTTAAGTAGAACAAAAACAATATGAATGTTAAGATTCCTTGGAAAGAGAACGATATATATACCTGAGGATCTAGTCGTTTGTAAATAGGAGCAAGAATATTGAAAGTGGTACATGACACGCACGAAGGGTCTCGTTCAGCCATATCCGGCATTGAAGAGAAGCAGCTACTGCTAGTTCTGGAAAGATCTCCATTACTATCATCACTAATCACAAGATGAGCAGGATCCTTCGCTCTTCTCCAATTGAACTTAGCTTTGGACCCTGACGCAACAACCTGAGCTCCAATCCCACTCATGTCAACTCTTCTATTCGAAAAAATCTCTCTTTCCGAACAAATCTAACAAAATTAAACGCATCGAACCCAGAAGAGGGAGAGAGATAGAGAGTCACCTACCATTCTCAGAAATCTCGCCACCGTCAAAAAAGGATAACAGACTGATCGATGATAAGAATGTCCTGGAGGCGTGAATTTGTGTGATTGCTAAAGGGATCGGAAAAGGGTCATGGATTTGATGAGCCTGGACGGAATAAATGGACTAAAACTCGTTTCTTTGTGAGGTTCTGTGAATCTTGTCACGAGGCTTTCGTTTGCGTGGTACAAATAGAGTGAGAGAGAAGGGTAGTGGCTTCTGCGGTGTCGCGTGGGTGAATGAAATAAAAACAATGGGAGAAGGAGGAGGGGCCCTCTGCCGCTGGTTTTCCAGCGTATTGCTGAAGCATAGGCTGTGATTAATGGAATCTAATCATTGTATTTTGATGATTCTTTAGAAACCGCATTTTAGGACATTTATCTTCCCATGAGTTTCGGGACAACGACAATGGAAATCAAACACGCTAATTTAACTAGGACAGTATTGTAAACGTGAGCTCCTTAGACTTGCATTGACCAGAAAAAAGTGGAGAGAAAACTTGCTAGATTTGCAACGAGTTTTACCGATGAATTTTATAGCAAGTTTTAAGGATCCGCTTTTCAAAGATTAACAAAAAAAAAAACAATTTTAATTTAGTGTTATTAGGAGAATCTTAAACTAAACATGAGGGTTTGTTGGAAGATGAAAACGATCAAAATAAGTTGGAATTTTTTTTTTTTTTTACCTTCAACAACCCCTCAGATTTAGCTTAATAAAAATGGCAAGTTTAAACTATCGACCTCAAATTGACATGATAATGTTATCATTAAATGTGATAGCTAAATTACAATGTATTGAAAAAAAAAAGGTTGAATCTAATTTCGTTTTTGAATGAATTTATTGTGATGAGTGGTTTTTTGGAAAACAATTATGACGGTAAAATTGAAATGAATTTTTTAAAAAGTTAATCTCTAATAACCAGGTTCGTTTTTGTCCTAGCCATTGATTTCCATTTTCGATTAAGGAGGGGGGGATCTGAATTTCTGAATCATAATCCTACGGTTCCTGAAAAGGAACGAGATTGCATGCTTCAGAACGATAACCTAATTAACAAAGGATTGTAATCAGATTGAACGGGAAGAAAAATGGCAAATTATACGGTTAATGAATTTGACCTTCTTTCCGTAATATATTATTCAGAATAAAATATGAATAGAATGATGACTGAAAGATGTGGTTGGTGGCGGGCTCTCCCTTTCTTATTATTGGATTTAATATTGCTTGTCACTATAAGTTGTTCATTATATTGAAAAGATTAAACTTTAACATTATCTATACACATCATTTTACAGATCATTGCTCACTGTATAGAATTTTAAATTTATTTAATAGACGAACACTGTTAACTCATCAGCTCTAAATCATTAAGATATAATTTGGATGGTTTAAATTTATAGTTTTTATTTTTATTTTATTAAAAAAATATTCTAATGGATACATAAAATCTAAATCATTTAGATATAATTTGAATAAAAAATTATTTAAAAAACACTCATTAAAAAACTATTCCTTTAATTTAAAAATGTAAGATATTTTTTAAAAAGTTAGATATTAAAAAATATAAAGTATTTTAATCTTTCGAGATGTAATCATTATCTTTTTTTAAAGTGTTCCTATTAATAATAACTTTATATTTATCATAGGATGTTTAATAAGAATAAATATGAAAAGATAGGATTAGTTTAAAAATATATAACTACTTTGTTGGGAGGTAAAATTCAATTAAAAATACTTTATATTTTTTAACAGAAGGGGTATATAAATATATATAATAAAATTAAATTTAAATGGTTTAGAGGCATGAGTTCTCAATGTTTGTCACTAAAACTAGTTCCCTCACTTTACACTCATCTATGCTTTAAGTTTCATAAATATTATTATATATAATATAATTTTACTCCATTTGAAAATATTGAGGATGAAATATTCCCAACAATTCTTTGAATACATCATTTTCATTTTCAATACTCCTTCCGTTAAAAAATATAAGATATTTTTAATTAAATCTCACCTTCAATAAAATAGTTACTTGTCTTTAAACTAATTTTATCTTTTTATATTTATCCTTATTTAATAAGACATTTCATATTAAAATAAATATGAATTGATTTATTTAATAGAGACACTTTTAAAAAAAAGACAATAATTATATCTTAAAAGACTAAAAATATCTTATATTTTTTAATATTCAACCTCTTATATTTTTTAACGAAGGGAGTATTTGTTATCATTTGGACAAATATTAGTACGCATTATTATTATTTTTTTACAAAGATGATCATAAGTAGAATATTTTTTATCATTAGAAAAATATCTTTATTTTATTTATTTAATATGTTAAATGAGTCTTAAATCAATATAAAGTATAGGGGATTAAAAAATAAATTATTTATAATTAATACAAATTTCAATTCGTTTTAAATTATATAAAAGAAGTATTTAGTTTATCATAAATAGCATAAAATAAATTTATTCTTTGTGAACAAACAGAAGGGACAAGGGGTGAAGGAGATAACGACCGCTGTGCCACTCATAATTGGCGTTTGATAATTTAAAAATTTCATATTTCGAACTTGTGTTTATCTTGAAGGAATGGGAATTCTGGTCAAGCAATTACTGATATGTTATGCAAAATAATTGAAGAAAATATTTGATGTAATGATCAATTTTTTTAGTTTTTTTAATCTGTTGAGCCATTATCTATAATATTTTTAAATATTTTATTATAATTTTTTAGTCATTTTCCTGTTCTTTTTTATGTCATTTTTTAATTAGTTATTTGTCAAAGTTAACTTTTATTAATGATAAAAATTAAATTATATTATTTCTAAAACTTAAAGAAAAATGTCGCATAGAAAATGAATTTAGATAGTGTGTTTATAATTTAAGGGTTAATTTATTATTTTACCATTTCTAATTTCAAACTGAGGAGTATATCTTGTAAAAGAAAGATATGGAACGAATAGCTGGTTTGGTGATAACGCCATCTTCTTGTGAACGAGAACGGTAAACGGGGATGAATTCAGTAATAATCATGTAGGGGGTCACAACTGAAAATTCATCTAAAAGTAAGGGGCCTAAAATTAATTTTAACATTATTCATTAACAAAATTTGAGCTACTTATAAAGTAAAATTTTATAGCATAGGGGTCCACACTCCACAGTTCCTACTGGCCCTGGTTGTAAATATTAATTTGACTGTAGTAAATGAATGAAAGAGTGGCAATGGGCTAATAGGTTAGTTAAGGACGTAGTAGTAATTGAAAAGTATTCCAAATCCCATGACGTGAAGTGGAAAAAGAATGTCATCAAGAGTCACAATCACAAGTAAAGAGGGGACAAAAATCAAGAACTGTGATTGGTCCAAAATAGATCAACGAGTCAAAAGAGGGATTCGGATAAATCGTTGCACATGCATGTGCGTGGAAGGCAATCACTGGCAAGCCATTTGTTTGAACTTGCCCAAAAGTTGGTTTGGTTAGTTAAACTCTGCTTCATGTGTTCCAAATTCCAATTTGGTTTGGTTAGTTAGAATTCGTCTCCTACACGATAATTTTCACTTTCAATGTCACGAGCCAATTTCTTTAATAAATCATTAGTAAAAATTTTTGTCATTAAAAAAAAACTGTTAAGTAAGTAAATTTTTTCCCATTTTTGGGATAATTAAGCACTAAACCAGTGAAAAATTTGCAGATGAAGTACCAAACATTCAAAGTTTTTTGAAGGTGTATTCCAAATTTACAACTAAACTTCAGGAACCATATTCAATGCAATACAGATTCTCGAAGATGTCTCAAGGCTCATATGCATGCAGATTTTGGAATCCTTCCTCTAAAAATTTCACTTATTTGGTCTCTACTCTCCATTTTTCATAGTTCATAATTGTTACTTGTCCCAGGAACGACGTTATCTTTCTTTCTTTTTTTTTTTTTTTTTTTGGGAAGAAATTTTGACTTCAAATCTGCTACGTGTACAAGGCGTATGAGGCGTCATTTCTTACATAGAAGGGTTAAGTTAGTTAAATGTAATTTTTTAAAAAAATCCATAAACATGACATGTGATTAGGTCTGATGTGGGATATGTCGGTGTCGCGTCACTATTCGTTGAATTAGCAGTGAACTGAACACAAATAAATATCATTTTGCACACGCAATCCACTACAATTGCCTGCCGACTTCTCACTTCATCTCTCTCTTTCTTCTCTCTGGGTCGGTCCCACGTTTAGCTTTGGGCCCGTAGGCCCCGCTATAAAAAAAAATTGAAAAATGTTGTCCCTAAAATGTTTTTTATCTATACTCCTATCCATAATTCCTCCAATCTTCCATCACGACTCTTATAATTTTAAAAAATTAATTAATCACAATAATTATATTTAAAATTAACATGAATAAAATATTCCTGTAATTAATATTTACCTTTTCCTTTTAATTTAATAATATTATCCATTTATGAGGCAAAATTTGAGAAAAATGTGATTAATACTTTTTCAAATTTTTAATTTTTCTTATAGTAAAAAAAATATATGATTGTTTTTCTTATATTTGAAGATGGAGCAGTGTGAATTTTGATATAAATATTGCTCGTATTTAGACAATGACCCCAATTACGTTCATCTCTCTTGACAGAATAAAAATAACCCCCAAATATGATTATAAAACTGCGATGAAAAAAAATTTGAGCGTAAATTTAAAAGAATTTGAAACTATTAAAATGTTTTATTTAAAGGAAATTTTTTAAAATGAAAATATATATAACTTATATTTTAGGCCAACAAATATATAATTTTTTATTGTCTATCTCCTTCAAATAAATACTCCCTCTGCTCTCATTTATAAGTCATGATACAATTTTTTAGGTAATATTTAAAAATTATTTTTAAAATTACCCTTCATAAAAGCAAAAAAGTAATATAACATCACTTTTTAGATTTTTATATAGGGACATATTTAAGATTTTATACACTTTTATTTCTTATACTTTTCTTGCATTGACATTGATGAGGTTTGTAAAAATAACTTATAAAGAAGACTCGAGAAATACTTCATAGATTTCTTTTATAAAAATATTTCACACATTTCTATTTTCTAATTTCCTAAATGGGAGAGGGATCTCTCCATTTACTTTTTGCCGACATTCTTCTCATTTAGTCATTTTGTGGTGCAACTTTTTAAGTAATAATTGCAAAGTATTTTAAAAATTTTTAATAAAAAAAATAACATGACATTACTTTTTAAATTTATTATATTAAGGCATATCTAAAATTCTATACACTTTTATTCTTTATATTT